GATGTTTTCAGTCATCATCAGGTGTCTTCTTCAGTCTCACCTGACTGCAGCCATTGTTCAAATCTCTGTGAATGGTACTCGTGATGATTGATTGAAGACCATAAACTGACCTCACAGCCCATTGTTCATTCAGTGGTGCTAGTTTCAGTCACTGTGCAAATGTACTCTTTATAAAGTTGGAAACCTACAGTCAGCTGAGACTGAAGAAGTCACCTGATGATGACTGAAAACATCCAGATGAACAGAATCGACCTTTTGGGATTTCCTTACTTAGGCTACGTTCACACTACTCTTAATGCTCAATTCCGATTTTTTTGATCAAATCCAATTTTTTTTTTTTTTTTTGGTCTGCTTGTTCACACTACAAATAAAATGCAACCGGTTTTATTAAAAACAGGACAAAGACAGCTGCTTCTTCTGTGGTGTTTCTGGGGACATCTTGAGGACACCCACTGAAGCCTTTAAGCTTGAAGTTCACTGAAATAAACTGAGTGCAATCGAGCTGCGTGTTTAATCCGTCCACGTGTGCTTCCTTCACTTACAAACCTATAAACCTGTCAGCTCGAGAAATGTGCACAGAATGAGCTATGCAGGAAGTGTCTGTGACTTCATAGGAAGTTTTTTTTTTTTTTTTTTTTCTTTCTTACAGTAAAACCCTGAAATTTCTGCAGTAGATGGTGGAAAACTAATTTTTTCCGACCATAGGAAAAACTGAACCAAAGCTCCAGGTAAATTGTTGTTATTGAGCACTGTATACTACATGTCTCATTCACACGCATGCATACAAACTAGTGTGTCAATAGATTTAAAAAAAAATAAAATAAAATTAATCTCACAATTTTCTGTAATTAATAGCAATTATTTGATCAATAGCCTGGCTGCAATTACACTTTTTCAGCTTTATATTTAAGCTTGTAACAGACATTTATATCAAAGAGAAATTGAATAGTTTTCTTGTAACACATGTGAAATGCAAGTTTTTTTTAAAAACCTATATTTTAATAATAATAGGTAAGTATACACTAATATTTGATTGAATATATTTTTATTTATTTTTTTAAGTGCTGGGGGGAAATATACGCACTTAACATGTTTATTGAGCATTTATCTTAACAAAAAACTGTAAACATTTATCCACTCTCTCTCTGTCATTCTTGAGATGAGGAACCAAAGCTATGTAAAATGCATGTTCTCAATGATATTAATAGGTCTGCAGTTTGTTGCAATCTACTTGGCAATTGTGTCAGTCATTATTTCCGAGGTAAACGTACTGAGCCCCCTGATGCTCCGTGAGTGATTTGTCGCAAGCTGGGTGACGCATTAGCCAAAATCTTAGCAGCATGCCCGGCTAACGTATGCTTCACATCAATGTGATATTTTAAGCTCGGTGAAAAGAAAATTCCTTCTTGCACAATGTGCATAATACTTTGCCGGTCAACTCTTGTTATTATTTTAATACTCAAATTTCCCATCAAGAGGGCCAATGTGCATTTATCATCTTCCAAATTGAGTTGATTGGTTCAGCTGCCTGTCACTACCAGATCTACTGCCCATTTGCGCATGTGCGAAGGTAACTCTACTTGGACAAACTGCCCGAAATGCATTGACAGAAACATTTCAGGGATTTTGAGTCCTTCTGCACTACAGATCCATTAATAGCGTTAATTTTTTTTAATCACGTTAATCTGTCTGTGACACTCTTTCGAGGATGCCAATGTTCACATTTTGGACAGAGAGGACAGATGGTTTGAAAGAGGAGTGAAAGAAGCCATCTATGTCCACTGTGAGCGACCATCTTTGAACAGAGGCGGGGTTTACGACACCAACTCTCTGCCATCTATAATCCAGTTTTGAGATCCCTTCCCAGACGCCTTAACGCCCACTCACATCCTGGGCCATCTGACCTCAGGAATTCGCATGATAAGGTGGGGCCAGGTTTCACAATGAACTCACCCGAAACTCTGGCTGATTGGGACCCACACCCAGTTTCACACCTTGGCTCTGGCGATTAGAGGATCATCAGGGGGTCCTTTTGTCCCTCTGTGGGGGGATACTCCCACTAGGTTTATATCTGGGACTCTCCACCATTTGACCTTAGAACTGAAGAAGCTTCTCGGATGAGAGGTGAAACGTCTTCAAGTAACTTAAAGAAGTCCAGACGCTTTTCTTTGCAAGCTCCTTTGACAATCACGTTAATCGTGATGACTGCTTAATCTGCGTTAATGCATTCATTTTGACAGCACTAATTCAAACACCTGTATGCTTCAGTGCTTTGGAATGCTCATGCTCCGATGGATGTGTCAGAGAGCAACTCAGCTTTAGTATCTCGTCATGGGATCGAGCCACCAAATGTCCAATCAGCTCTAGACAGTGGGCCAACTCTGGCCCCCGGGCCTCATGTTTGACACCTCTGATACAAAATAAAACCAAAGTCATTAAAGGCAAACCTGCACACGTGTGTATGCAGTTCTTTCTTAGAGCGATCAACAAGCAACATAATGAGTTACCATGGAAACAGAGTTCTCAGGTATGTGTTTACAGACAGGTGATTGGCCTGATTCCGGGGTTTGGACATAACCTGTGATCTGAGTGGAAGCAGGTTCGGGCCAAACTGACTACGTTTAAAGAGTAGATCTCAGGTATGTGTTTACAGACAGGTGATTGGCCTGATCAACAGGAGCATCAGCCGAAAAGCTCCACCTTCCTGTTAATTCTGACTCTGGTTAATTGCTCCATGGGTCCTGCTGTTCTTATTCAGGTCAGCTTCAATGATTCATTTCCCCTGGGTGCTGTCTGACAGGCTGCTTAAACATTAATGAGGCTGAGCATTTGCCTTCCAGGAGCTCGGCCAATCAAAGCGTCTCAGAGGCAGAAGTGCAACAACAGACCCAATCACAGCAGAGCAGGAATGAGGTCAGACTTCCTGCTGCTCCCTCTACAATGGCGTGATGAACCTGGAGCTCGAGCCTGCCTCTGGCATCACATCTGTTTATTCACGTCACAAAGTTTGAGTTTACTGGACGTTTACAAATAAAAAGCTGAAACACCTGTAGGTGCGTCTCAGGTGAGCCTCACTCTAATAGTCCTTTTTTTTTCCTCTCAACTCTTGTCTGGCAGGAGCAGCTGCTCGCACACCTGCTGAATTTTCTTGGGACTTCTTCTTTTCTGCAGTCTCGCACTCTCTGCGGCTTCCTGTTTCCACTCAAACGCCTACATGCACATGCACAGTGTTAACCACAGACGCATGCTGCTCTAAAGCAGTCGACTTCCTGTGTGTTCACCTCTTGATGAACCCCCTCTCGTGCTTTTTGTTGAGTTCTTCATAGAATTATCTTTGTGATCACTGATGTAAGGCACATCCAACTTGCCATCCACTCTCACCTTATCTGTGACCCTGAAAAGTCTCAATGTGACAGAAAATAAAGTTCCTGAATATTAAAACTACAAAATAAACTTCACTGTCACCAGCCATCAGATTAAACAGGAAGTGATTCCATTTTATTTTTAGTTAGTTTGTGGGTGATCGCAGCCAATCAGTGAAGAGGTGATGATGATGAGACGATTCCATCCCATAATTCATAGTAGCACTCCATCAGATTAAAAAAGAAAAAGCTATCAGCAACTCAGATTTGTTGATAAATGCCTGATGCACCTGAAGCTTATAATTCTGTTTATCTGAGCTTCTTTTTGGACACAATACTGTTCACTCTCTTAGTTGTCAGAGGTCAGGGTGGGTGGAGCCTTCAGTGGGACTCACAGCTTTCTGTTTTTATTATCTTTATTCATTTCTAATGTGGTTCTGTTAATGTTAATGTGTTTTAATGTTGCGCTCTGTAAACTTTTCCTAGCGTGGACGCTGACATGTGTTCTGTATAAATAAAGTTGTTCTTAAAAAAAAAAAAACCTCTGTAATGTCAGCATTTTGTAGTCCGTCTTCTGGGTGTTGTAGTTTTATGCTTCCAGCATTGGGTTATTATTCTCCAGGTTCTCTGATACTCTCGTTATCTGATTGAGGAAATGGAGGTGGTTTAGGTCACGTGATCATACGATGGTTATATGGGGGGGGCAACTAAGCTGTAGTGTTTGCACAATAGTCGAAAAGTGCAATAGACAATTGGCTGCTACATCTCATTAATGAGTATTTTTCACTGCCTATTTATATATTCTGTATTTATATATGTGTATATATGCTATATTTATCCTTATGCTTCTATTCGCATTCTCTTTCCCCCCTTTTTTATATTCTAATTTCTTTACTATGCAAATTTCTGTCTGTGTCCTGCTACTGGAAACTGATCACGGTTACATTTAATTCAAATTGCTTTAAAAAAGTCCACATGAGTGAAAATGAAAAATTTACATTTTTTAATGATGACAGAAGACATTAGCCATTCACTGAATACAGTTTAAAAACTGTGAGACCAGGTGTGTGATGTAGCTACGGTTCAGAGAAAACAATAATGTGAGGTCACCTGTCTGTCCGGTTGAAGTGCTACAGTAAAAAGTGTCCCCTCAACAACAGAAAGGACATGAACTGCTCCTCAGTGCACACAAAAATTGTTTCTGATGGAACCCGGCAGGTGAACCGTGAACCTTCTGAACACCTGAGCAGGTGAAATGGGAATAAAAATGAGTTTATTTGGACACAGATATGTGATCAATAATCAGATATCAACGACAACTGAGTCACATCGTCTCTGTGAGCTCTGATTGGCCTGCTAGTTCCCTGCAGGTGTGAATGTTTGAGATGCAGTTACATGTTTCTGTGTCTGCGGGAGTGGCCACGCACTAGGTGTTCGGCCATCAGGTACGATGCTGCTGTTTCAGTCTAACACGTGGCAGCAGGGAGGCTGACAGTGTGCAACACAGCAGTGCACACAGAGCACTGCAACATCACAGATCAACGTCTCTCAGGCCTTATTCAAGTCCTCGTGTTTGTGTCACCTTCTTTACTCTAGCTTCTGTCTCTAAAGTTCTTGTTCCAAACATTTCTGTTTTTGTTTTTCTGTGCATGCGTAGCACTCAAAGTCCCCCGGTTCTTGGTCCTGCCCCTCTGCGGTCACCTCAGGACACTGCAGTGTTGGGGAACCGCTACCTCAGGTCCCGGGTGGTTTTCCTGCTGCCAGCCTCTCACTGCCCGTGTTGAGCTCTAAAGAGTTGTTGATCGGCTGGATTTTGTTTTGGCTGGTGTTGGACGGAGTTCTCACCAGCACTCTGCCACAGACCTGTGCAAGTCCTCGCCGTAGATCCTTTCGAATGTTGTTGCTTGACAAGACGTACAGGATTGGGTTGACAGCGCTGTTGATGGTGGACAGGCCCAGCGATATGGTGTAGGGTGTGTACATGGCCTTCTGAAACGAGCAGTTGTCAAGCCACGGGAAGTGGAAGATGATGCCTCGGACCAGTAGGATGATGTGGTATGGGGCAAAGCACACCAGGAACAGAACCACCACACCCACGGCCAACTGCCGGACACGGCGTTTTTGTGCCGACTGCAGCCCTGTGCTGCGCTGCACATTAGCCAGGATTCCGCGGTTGGTGACCACCAGCAACAGCAGCGGGAGAAGGAAGCCGATGACGAAGCGAGCGTAGTAAAAGCCTGTCACCATCGCGCTGCTCTGACTCGGCTCGAAGCAGTGATGCGAACCCTCTGTGGCGCCCTCCTTCATGGTGAAGACAGGGGCGTGCCCGATGGCCACCACCAGGATGATAGCGAGAACAACAAAGGCGGCGTGGCGTTGCCGTCGCAGGCCACGGGACTCCAGGCTGTAGACAACGGCGACGCAGCGGTCGAAGGAGACACAGCAAAGCAGGAAGATGCTGATGTACATGTTGTTGAAGAAGATGTAGCCCGTCAGCTTGCAGAACGCTGACGACCATGGCCACCTGTGACCGCTGTTCACGTAGATCGCCCACAGCGGCAGCGTCCCCAGGTAGGTAAGGTCACAGACCGACAGGCTGCACAGGTACACGCCCAGCACATTCTTCCTGCGCACCTGCAACCCCGTGAGGAGGACTGTCAACAGGTTGGCGGGCAGACCGACCAGCAGCACGGCGCTGTACAGCAGCACCAGCGGTAGGCGGCCCTCATCATGCGGCAGCGTGCAGTTCAGGTCACTTCGATTGGTCGTCTGGGTCACCATTTCGGTGACTGTCAGCATGATGTCTGCGGGGAGAGACAACCAATCAGAGCCCAGGGCTAATCATCTGCAGAGAGATACAGCCAATCAGAGTCTTTGGCTGTATCTCAAAGACTGATATCAGCATAAATAAAAACGTAACTTAAAGCACAGTGAAAGGAATCACACAAGAAGGTCAGACAGGATCCATGGAGACGGCAGCAGAATCCGACCCAGCTGAGCATGCTCAGCAGCGAGAGCTGCTCTGATCAGTGTCACGCTGAAAAAGCACCTGAAGGTGTCAAACGGCGGTCTGAGAGGAGGTTTTCGGCTGCTGTATGTGGGCTGCACAATTCATATAACACCTGGCACAGCCCTGAATAATGACCTTCAATGGAGAGAGTGGGGATAAAGAACACAGGCCTTTTGGTTTCTGCATGATTTTAACACCAAATGAGGCCAAAAACAGCTCGATCATTAAAAAAAGGTCTGAGCTCTCACATCTCACCCACACTCTTATTCTGAAACTTGATTTATTCATCACTACATACTTGAATGAAAAGAACTTTCCCCTCACAGACGAGCGCAGGCTGAGTGGCTGATCTGTGACAAAGAGTTAAAGCCATACTGGTGAGCGCCGCAAAGCAAGAATAAACCAGGTGATCAGAAATCTGTTATGAGATTAAATTAAACTAAACCCTGAAAGAATTTGAGACTGTAAAGTAAATTTCACTTCCCCTTCCTTCTAAAGTCAAAAACCTTCAGTGTCGTAAAGGAGCTTTTAACCATCTAAATTCTGAAAGCTGGATCACCAGCTGCCTGCAGGTAAATTTGGGATTTCTGGACTTGTATCAGGACTGAGCTGTTATCAGGAGGTAATGAATTCACTTTAAGGTGAGCCGACCTGTTCCAGATCCAGGTCTGGGACTATTTATTTATGCTCTCCAGCCTCAAGTATGCAGATTTTCATGATTTGCTCATGTTCACTAAAAAAAGGAAAAGTTCCTCCGAGGTCATGAAATAAAGTCATGTCAATTCATACAAGACATCGTCAGAGGTTGAATCTGTTTCTAGGAGTTCACACGTTGTTTTTTTAAATCTTAAAGGGTTCTTAAAGGGTCTTAAAGGGTTTTTTTGTGCTCGCTGTTTATAAACTCATCAGCGAGTTCATCAGCGACCTGAATCTTTCCTGTGGGCGCAGTCAGACACTGTTAGCTTCCTCTGACCTTTATACCACCTGATCGATTGGTCATCAGGCTGACCGATCACGATTATGAGATGACTTCCTGTCTGAAGTGAGCCTGCACAGGAAACTGCTGCAGGAAACCTTGCCACAATAATGGTTCTCACGTCTGTCATGCTGAAACCTCACCTCATCGGCGCATGGAAACCACGCATCTCTGGGTCTGGCTAGGTAAGCTTTCTTTTTCTGTGGTTTCAATCTGAGCACTCCACAGAGTGCAATGTACTCAGAGAAGACAGTTTACCTGAAATGATCCTCCTCTTCCTCCTCCGGGAATATAATGAGTCTGAAATGTGCAATCAGAATCCATCAATCAGAGGTCTCAGCTGATTCCTCCCCTTTACACACCTGACACAGGAATACATACTTGAAATGGCGATCGATAACTTCACCTCCATACTGATCCCTCATCAGTTCACACATAAAGTCATTGTAACAGTACTTCAAAGGAGAGCTGCAGAAGTACTGTGTACAATGCACTATTAGTACTCTAAGTGCACGGCAAGTTTAAAGTGTACATTAAAGTACTCATTTGTTACTGCAGTAAAAATACCAAGTACTCAGTACTACAGTTATTGTTACTTTATTAACCAATCAACTATCTTCTGTTATTGCTCTTACACATACTACAAGAAGAGCTGTTTCTTCTTCTGCTGACAGCTCTATGTCACACTGCGTTATCTTTGGCGTGTTTCAGAGTCACTAGAGAAACAGGAACAAAGAGCCCAGGGACAAGGCTGCACTTGAGGTTCAGTGTGAATATTTGATGCTCTTTGTTCTCATCCTCCTCTTCATCACCGACTGACTCACTTTAAACGAATATTTCGATCAGCTGTGTGTCCCGCTGATCGATCGACTGGATTAATAACTCGATCAATAATACTGGTTCTTCATCAGTAACCTCTCTGTACAGTACTATGTGAACTGAAAGTACACTCAGAATATTTGAAGTACACCAAGTGACTTTAATGCTATTACAGCAGAATGAAGTACTCTGTCTAATAAACCTGGCAGCACTACAGTGTATTTGCAGTAAGTGTATGTCTCTGTACCTGCACGCGCTGCCTGCTGTCCTCCGGTGAAGCTTGCGTCTGTCCTCGTGCTGCTCCTTAACGAAGTGATGCTCAGTGACGTCCCCCAGAGTCACGTGACTCCTAACCGTCTCATCGACACCTCGTTTTCGTCTGTTATCGGAGACCATCGATAAACGCCAGCCTGCACGCGTTCAGTCTCAATGACGTGAAACCGCGACCGCGCGCCGCCTGCTGGCAGCACGAGGAGTCTCATAAAATGCACGGGGCTGTAAACACAAACCTGTAGAACACGTGTAAAATAAGAAGGAAGCGCCAACATTCAGAGCCAGCGGAGTGAAAAATATCGATGTTTGGCCTGAAAACTCGATAAATATCTGAATGTTTGCTCTTCAAAGCTGCTGTTTATTTCCCTTTAATCTCTCATGTGGTGATGAAAGAAATCGTCATTATATACAAATGAGGAGAGTCAATAATTGATATATAAATGTTTATTGGCTGTTTTTAACAGACAGATGGGTTTTGGGGATGTTTGTGTTTATTTTGCACTTTATGTTTGTGAACAAATAAAGGGTTAAAAAAAATCCATTAAGCAAAAATCAGCTGTTTCTGATGTCTCTTAATTAAAAGTTATGATTTATTTTCTCACACAGTACAGGAATATTTAATACATCAGTCCGCTCTTCATGTTAACAGAAACATGGGATTGATCACAGCTTTTGGATTTTTGTTTTACTTGGGAAACTTTTAGACAAACTTCAAACCCGATCGCTTTAGGATAGATCTGTCTATGAGAGGTGGCAACCTGAACATTTGAGAGCACCCATACATTCTCAGACAAATATGGCAGCAGCATCCGTATCCCAGCATGCTGCCCTGAAGCATTAATCTGTGTTTTTATTTTATTTGGCGTGATGATGTCAGAATTAATGTCAGAGGTGTGTCCAATTATCTGATGAAACATGAAGAAATAACTCCGCCCCCTCTTTCTCACATCAATATAGTCACTTCCTGTTTTCAAAGGAACATCAGAGTCATGACTCTCCCCCTTCCTGGCTATGTAGGCAGAGCTACATCGATTCAGACAGCCACAGATGGGCTGGAAGGACATTCATGTTGCCATGGTGACAGCCATGTTAGTTTTTCCAGCGAATTTGCTGAAAGAAAAGAAGAAATAGTTTAGTCACATGTCAAGTCACATGATATAGTTCACAAAGGAGCCCTCCTCACCGGGTTGCTGAGCAGGTCATCAATCTTCCTCTCCTCCGCTGAGCCCCTCACCACCTTCCCACGGTATCCCAGCAGCAGCTGCCGGTCCTTCATGTCCCGGTATGTCTGATTTGCCCAGAGATACAACATCATCATGGCATCATACAAAGTATTGTTCTCTGATTGGTCATTTTTAAAGCAGCAGTGTGGTGGGGCGTGGTCTGTGGTGCCGTGCGGACGCACCTGCACGGCATCTGCAGATCGCACCTGTGGTGTTAAAACACGGGGACTCAAGGGTTGGTTGTTGTGGTGAGAAGTGCTCAATAAAATGGCTCAAAACTATGATCCTTGGACCCGTCGTGCCTTAATTCCACCACAAGCAGCTAAATCAAATTTGGCAGACTCACACTGATGACGATGTCGTGACATTTATGTTTCTGAGCCAAAGTGAGCCTCAACTCTCCGTCGTCCACAAGTGCCACGTAGTCCTGCAGCACCTGACAGTAATCAATAACCAATGATCAAAAATCAATAACAAGCTGATGGCTCTCTCTACCTCTGTACCAGGTGTGTTACAGTAGCTCACGTGTGTGGGGGCGGAGTTCTTCTGTAGGATGTCAACAACTCGCTGGAAGCTCAGTGGTGATTTCTTCCTGGTGAACCCGAGCCAATTCCTGCTGGCAAACAGAGCGTCCACGTCCAGCCATGCCTTCAGCTTCGCCCTTGCAGCCAAAGCAGTCACAAAGTACTGCTTTTCTGAGATCTGAGTTCAGAGGTCACAGGTCAGTGAGTCAAACAGATCAAAAGAGGTCAAAAGTCAAAGCAAACCAGTCAGCTCTCACCTTAAAGGTCTGACGGATATTTAACGGACTGCTGAAGGTCCCCTGAAATATAAACACTGTTGCAGGTTACTGCTAACTCAGGCTAACAGGGGCTAACACTAACTCAGGCTAAGAGGGGCTAACACTAACTCAGGCTAAGAGGGACTAACACTAATTCAGGCTAACAGGAACTAAAACTAACACAGGCTAACAGACTGACCTCTGGCTCAGCGTAGTGATAGAAGCAGCAGTAGTACAGCGTGGTGATCAGCGGCATGTTGAGGATCAAAGCTTTTCTGGGAAACTTCTGGAAAATTTCCACCTTCCCTCCACGCTCAGCCTGCCGGTCTGTCACCTAGCAACAACAGTGATTAAACTGGATCTAGTCAATCAGAAACCTTCAACCTCGCCATGAACTTAATTAACTGGTTACTGACCTCGATGATGATCTGCCTTTCCAATAGAGTGTAGTGATCCTGAACATGGGCCAGGTCCTCAGCAGAAAATGGGAGGCTGAAAACAACGAACAAACAACTGTAAACAACAAACACTAACAGTTACCTGAGTGTAATCAGATTACTGACCTAAGGCAGTTCTTCAGGAAGTCCCGTCTTTTGTTTTCATCTGTGATGCTCAAGTGTTCCTTATACTGAAGCAGCTGTTGCCATGAAAACAGGAAATGGCATCATCATCAGCCCAATGAACGCCAGAAGAATTAATGTTGATTTGTTTATAGCTACAGAGTACTACATACCGCCGCATCCTCAGCTCTGCCCAGTGCTCTGAGGAACGGGAAGAAAGCAAACACATCAAAAGAGTTCTATCTGTACAGGTGTACACCAGATACCTGTGACACACCTGAATGTCTACCTGCCGACCTGAACCTCATCACTCAGTCACAAGAACACCTGCAGCATGTTCAGCATCACGCTTCATACAGACGAGGGCAGTAATCAGCAGGGACAGGTGTACTTGTAGGTGAGAGCAAACCTGTGCAGTTCCAGCAGCAGCCTCTGGTTTTGGGTCTCACTCAGGTAGTGGATGAAGTGTCTGAGAGCTGTCTGCCTGGACTCCAGCTCTCGAAACAAAACCTCTGAGAACAAAAACAGAGTCAGTGGGAGAACCAATCAACCTGCAGGACCGGGATCAAGACCACACTCACCTTTACAGAGCGTCCTCTTTAGATAGATTAAAACCTGAAACATAAACAGAGCATGCTCAGTTGTGTCTGATGGGATGGTTAATAAAGTTTAAATGATGCCGTTATGAATCAAGTTACAGCCGTGATGACGTTTCCATCATGAGCAGCAATGGCGTGATCGAGCAGCAGCAGTTTGTCCTGCAGTGTGCGGAACCTCTCCAGAGACACAGCCTACAATGCAGTACAAATAATCACAGTACTACTACTACAGAGTACTGACGCTCAGAGTACCACACTGAATTTTTCCAGAGACACGGCCTGCCACACAGTACAAATACTTACAATATTAATACAGAGCAGAAATACTCAGACTTGGGTGAACAGGTGTGTTACCTTTCCTTGCTGAAGTCTCTGAACCGTCTCTTCAGGTGACCAATCACTGACATAATCCTGACATCACAATAACCATATCACCATTAGAAATGACAGCACAGGACTACACAACTGTAATCACATTACCCCAGAGTAATTAAATTAGCATCCATCCATTCGCTACCGCTTATCGTTTTCAGGCTCGCGGGGGGGGGGGGGGGGTGCTGGAGCCTATCCCAGCTATCATAGGGTGGAAGGCAGGGTACACCCTGGACAGGTCGCCAGTCTGTCACAGGGCTAACACACAAGGACAGACAACCATTCACACTCACATTCACTCGCACATTCACACCTAGTGGCAATTTGGATTATCCAATTAACCTATCCCCACAAACTGCATATCTTTGGATGGTGGGAGGAAGCCGGAGTACCCGGAGGGAACCCACGCAGACACATGCAAACTCCACACAGAAAGACCCCGGCCTGATGGTGGAATTGAACTCAGGACCTTCTTGCTTGCGGCAACAGTGCTAACCACCGTGCCACCGTGCTGCCTAATTATTAAATATATATAATTAATTAGCAATGGTGACTAATTTCTTAGTCAACTAAATGAGGGAAACATATTAGAGTAAGCCACTGGTCTAAAACTAAGAAATACGGATATGGAGTTAAATTTGAGAACCGTTTAATGCCAACATAAGCCAGAGGTCACTAATAGGCGGACTGGGGTCCTGAGCTGCAACCACAAGCGGTCCCATATGGAACCGGACTTCCAGTAAAAACAGAAGGCAAAAATTTCAAAGCTGATAGGGTGCTTCTGTTTTAACTGGTCCAGCATTTTCTGGTCTTTACGGTAGTGGTTCAGTGGCTGAAGAAATGCACAGACCAGTTGGGTGCAACTTAAGCCACCCCATGTGATACCACTCAGCCAATGAACTCTGTATACTCCAGGCGGTAAATCTGACAGCTGAGACTTAGTTACACCTGAAAAGACAGTGAAAAAGAAGAAAGACAGCGATGGAGAAAAAAGAAAAGGAGAAACACAGACAACTGTGTCTGAAAACTCTGAATAAAGAGAGACTGGTGGCACGAAACAATACGAACATGCTGTGCAAAAACAAAAAAAAGTGTACAGTGACAATAGAGCAACAGATGAATGCTGGGCCTCTGCAGATGCGATCTCCCAGCAGATGTGGACTCAAAAGAGCCATTTGCATAAGCCGACCTTCCACAGGTGTGAGGAAAGTCACCATGTTTGGCTCCACACACAAAAGCCAGGCAGTTTTCTCCGTTGTGAACATAATCAACACTAAATATTGTTTCCGACTCATCAGTGAGCTCCTCCTCATGCGTATCAGGATGGCCCTGATTCAAGCCTGGTTTAAAAATTTACTCTGACCGGCAAAGAGGGGGGTGATTAAATACGGAGAGGAATTTTCCACAAAAGGGTTGCAAATGCGTACGACATGACCCAAAAGCATAAACTAAGATTTACCGATGTGTGCAGTGATTTGTGTGTAACGTACGTCAATCCACACAAAAATTGGAAGCAATCTGAGCAAGAGTATAACTATTTTACAAACGCATACATCCAAACCTGAATAAATACTAATCATTTATGCATGATTTAAGTTCAGCTTCATGAATCCGATAATTGTTTTTTCAAAAAATGGTCTGTGCAAACAGTTACACGTCACACCTTTCATCAGTCAGAAAACCTTACAGAGTATAAAAGCGCTATATAAGACTCCGTCCATCTACCATTTACCATGACCTAAAAAGCCAATGGAGATGGTTTGGGATGAGATGGACCGCAGATCAAAGGCAAAAGGGCCAACAAGTGCTCAGCATCTCTGGGAACTCCTTCAAGACTGTTGGAAAGCCATTTCAGGTGACAACCTCATGAAGGTCCTCGAAAGAATGCCAAGAGTGTGCAATGCAGTAAGCAAAGCAAAGGGTGGCTGTTTTGAGGAATCCAAATTATTTAAAACATGTTTTGAGTTCACAAAACATGACCCATGTCTCAGGTGTACACAGCGGCCTCCTCCTGGCAGGATATCCCTGGTCGGACCACCTTACCCAGTTGGTGTCTACCTCGACTGGCTCCTTTAAATGTGGACGAGCATCGACTCTACTCTAAATCCTTCCCAAACAACTGAACTCCTCGCCCTATTGCTAAGGATTGTCTGTGATTTCACTCTTTTGCCTTTAAAAGAACTAGCAATAACAGTGGTGACTAAAATATGAGGCTGATTTTTGGCGTTTCTCACCTGTTGGCAGATGGTTCCATAAGATTAGGACACAACTATTTACCAGCAGTGGGGATTAATTCAAATGTAAAACAACTAGGTTAAATGACTCATATGTCTGGTACTGACTAGTGACAACAGTGAAGATTAGTTGTCCAGTCGACTAGTCGTGCACATCAACTTACATCAGGTTAATGATATTATAATTGAATTACTCATGGGTAATCAGAATACCCAAGAGTAACTGGATTTTGAAGCATAACTGTAATGAGATTAACAGTTATCACAATATTTGAACAGCCATATAACACACCCATAGTAATTAGATTACTAAATATAACACCCTATTTAACCAGGGTAATCTTACCTTGTACTCAGACTTTGGTTTTCGGAGCTCAGGAGCGTAGAGCCTGACAGACGAGTCAGTAAGTGCTAAAAACCCCAAAAAACAAATGTCAGTCTGAGTGAGACATCCAACCACCATACATCCTCTATCATCTGACCATCATTAATGACCATGCAACCACCAAACAACATCCAACCACCATCAGTCAACCAGTATTCACCCAGCCATTATCCAAGCGCCATCAAATCAGCATTCATTATTAATCGAACCATCAACCAATCACTATCCAAACATCATCCATCACCATCTAATCATCACCCACTATTTATACAACCATTATTTGACCTTTAAATACCATCCAATATTCATCCAACCACCAACCAACATCATTGCATATTCATCCAATCACCATTCAACATCATCCCATATTCATCCAATCACCATTCATTTATATACATGACCCTGACTAGGTAAAATATCGTAAAAGTATAAGAACACCACCTGAGTCATCTGAGGACTCACCGTCACTGAAGGTCTGGAAGTTCCCTACCTTAGGTTTTCCTGCACAGAATCACATGACAACTGCAGTGAATCACATGATCAGGCTTCGGTCTATCTGAGTCATGTGACCGTCCTCACCTTTGAATAGAGAGCTCAGCGAGTATCCTGATTGGCTCCTACTGATCGATGGCGTGTCAGTGCTAATTTTGGGGAAGGCAGGCTCTCTATCTGCCCTCTGACTGGAGGCAGCTGTCTCTTTAACGGACCAGGAAATACCTGTGGACACAAGTATGACAGGTAACCACCCTATAACCAATCAAATCTCAGCATTCTCCAAAGGAGTGACCAATGAGGAGAATGTAGGGGTCTTACTGCCGACTGGCTCGCCACTCCAGCTGATCCTCTCGACATCATCTTCGTCATCGTCTTCCTCCACCAGCCGCCGTATATTATTTACTGCCTGCCGAGACTCCTTCAACTGTTAGACAACAACACCTAAAAATCACACCTGAGAGCCACATCAAGTCAATGACACACATGCAGGGCTAGAACAATTCACTCTTGCTTCTGGTTCTGGAGGTCTTACCCTGCTTAACTCATCATCTTCATCATCGAAGGTGAACGCTTTAAACTTGGAGCTGTGCCAGTAGTCTTCCTCGTCAACTTTACTCTTAATCATCTGGACATAAAGAGTTAGTGACTCTTTATTTAAATTGTCAACACAAAAAGGAAGGAAGCTATTAGCTGGTAAGACAGCCTGCATCACATGATGTCATTCTTTTTCTCCTTATTGATCATGTGATGAGATCACAGGTCAGGAAGTGGCGCACAGTGAGAAACACTGTCTCAGCATATGCTAAGCTTTTCATATTTTTCATTTTCAGTGTGTATTATTAGCACTATTATGTTATTGGTCAAAAAAAAATCTGTTAAACATTACTCATTACTTTTCATAAAGTACGTTACTTAATTACTCGCTAAAGAAAGTAATTTATTACACTACTTGTTACATTACTTTCTCATTACTCCAGAAATGACCTGAACCAACTGTCACACATTTACTTTTAACAGTATAAACCTGACACAGATCTCTATCCTAATGAGGATACAATTTTTACACATAAACACAAAGTAAAACCAAAAATCGGCCAAAGCACACTGCAGAGTGGTTGCCAGGGTGATTCTACAGTACACACATGGACAGGTAGAAACGGACGCTGCAGCCTGACTGCTCATTACTGTCTTTGTTACATGATGAAGTTCAGGCTCTGGCTGCTGGGTTCGGGTCTGCATACAACTCAGCTTTAATATCACTCTGCGCTCTTGGCTAGCTTTGTGTTAGCATGCTCTCAGTGCAGATGTTATTAGATGTTGTGTTAACAGAATAATGCAGTTGTTTCTTTACTGAATGTAGTTTACTCTTTACCATCGCGCTCTTGTTCTTTTGTGCATTCAAATCTAAAGGCCTGTCCATATCCCCACCCCTCAGCAGCTGTAGACCATGCCACCATTTTTCTCTTCCCACTCAAAAACTGAAATCAGCTTTGACTGTAGCACGAGTGCACAAAGAAAAGCATTTGTCTGATGTTCCTTTCACCTACATATCCTTTAAAGTCCGCTCCAATCACCACGCTAACCGTGTGGGAACACTCTCTACCACTTCACACCTTTTGACTTTTAGCTTCAAAATCATGATCCTTTTTCAGACTCTCCTTACTGCCACAACCCTATTTACATATTCTACCTCGAACATTACCACTACTTTCTTTCTCTTTCCATCTACACCAAGGTACAGCAGAATCCACCTCCACTGCTCCTGGCCTTTGCTGGTCTCTCATAGTATATCTACCCTCTTTCCCTTTCCCATCACAGTCCCAACACTTAGAGTCCTACTCTCACCTACACACTCCTGCCTTTCCTTCTGTCTCGCTGCCTCCTAGTCCTAACATGCCCTCTCAGAAGGACCTGGACTTTAGGAGGATGAGGAATCCTGTGACCCCTGTTTCAATCCAGGGAGTCGATGTGGACTTTGTGGAGGACTATAAATACTTTGGAGTACACACAGACAATAAACTGGACTGGGTTAAAAACACCACTGCACTCTACAGGAAGGGCCAGACGTGTCTCTGAGGTCTTTCAACAGCTGTCGGACAATGCTTAGGATGTTCTATGAGTCTGTTGCCGCCAGTGCCATTGCATGCTGTTGGGTTGAGGGTCACAGATGCCAACAGACTAAATAAACTGATCCCCAAGTCCAGTAATATTGTGAGGATGGAGCTGGACTCCCTTAGGGTGGTATCTGAGAGGTGGATGTTGTCCAAGATAAGGACAATGCTGGATAATACCTCCCACCCATTCCATGATGTGCTGGCCAGTCCCAGGACCACACTCAGTGAGAGACTGCGATTACCCATAAGGCACCACTGAACGACACAGGAAATCATTCCTGCCTGTGGATATCTCCGTAAAACTCCTCCATCTAATGCACAATGCAGAAGTTACACCCTTCTGCCCATCCTGTACAGTAAAATAACAACGTTTTACAGGTCAGAGTAAAATGTCAATCATGTATATGTCATGTCTCTAATATTCTTGATATTTATAAATATATTTGTATACATTGGAGCTATTTCTTATATTTTGTAAACATCCATCCATTCGCTTCCGCTTATCCTTTTCAGGGTCGCGGGGGGCGCTGGAGCCTATCCCAGCTATCATAGGGCGAGAGGCGGGGTACACCCTGGACAGGTCGCCAGTCTGTCACAGGGCTAACACACAAGGACAGACAACCATTCACACTCACATTCACTCGCACATTCACACCTAGTGGCAATTTGGATTATCCAATTAACCTATCCCCACAAACTGCATGTCTTTGGACGGTGGGAGGAAGCCGGAGTACCCGGAGGGAACCCACGCAGACACGGGCAAAAACACAGAAAGACCCTGGCCTGATGGTGGAACCAAACTCAGGACCTTCTTGCTGTGCGGCAACAGTGCTAACCACCGTGCCACCATGCTGCCCGTTATTATTTTGTAAACATTGTAATATATTATATTATTTAATTTAGTTTAGTCTGTTACTGTTATTGTCTTGGAGCAACTGTAACAACATAATTTCCTTAGGGATTATTAAAGTATTCTGATTCTCCCTCTCCTCTTCCTTCATCTTCAATAGTAGTCAGTAGTAGTAGCCAATAGTAGCCCAGTTTGCACCTGCCGGCCAGCAGCACCCAGTCAGTCATTGTTAACCCGGGCCTGACCGATCCGGTATGGAAATCTGATTTTTTATGGCCTGCATGCCTGATCCGGATGTCCTTCCTGAACCCTCCACATTTACCTAGTCTGGGCCCAGAGGTGGGAAGTAACGAATTACAAATACTTCAGCAGAATCTTCAGGTATCTGTACTTTACTTGAGTATTATTATTATTATTATTATTTTTTACAACTTTTTACTTTTATCCCTACACTTTATACAAATATCTGAACTTTCTACTCCTTACATTTTCAAAACGGCTCCTTACTTTAGTTTTAACACATCTGAGGGGAGTAATTATTTTATATCACTGCGAACCTTCATAGTCATCGCCAGGGGTGTCCATGAATTGTGTTTGCGGTACTTCAGCATCTAGCTAGCCCTGCTGAAGAGGAGCGAGCATAAAGGGAGTAACGTTTTTTTAAGTGTCAGGCAGTTTGAAATACAGCATTTCTATCAGCTCAACAAACATCAGCAAACATATAAAAACTGTTTGTGTGCAGTTTGTCTCACAGTGTGTTACAGCTAAAGGTCCAGCTGCATTTCACAGTGAGAGAAAAAGATAAACAGGTTAGTTTTCTGCACTGTGGTGGATACAGTAAAGGTGCACAGATGCTGTGGTTTCATTTCAGTTAGCTTACATCAAGTGTAGCAGAGATTCATATGAATTTCAGTTGATGATGGTTGTATAGTGTCTAATATAAAGACAGCATAAACAGTGTACTGTCAGTGTAGAGGATGAAATCAGCTAGGACAACTCAGGAAACATCGGCTCACATCTTGTTGAATTCAGGTGTATACACCCATAAAGAGCAGCAGATCAGCTGATCACAGCCAACATTAAGAAAATCTACTGAAGCTCTCAATAGAAATTATTGTGAGATATGATTCGTTCCCACACCTAACCACTACAATTTCGCGGGGTTGCTGGGAGTTGTAGTGCGCTGCAGTCTGCCGTAGCCCGTGTTGGTTAGCCTGATCCCGGACTCACATCTGCTATGCACGTGTGCGTTTTCTAGTAACGAGCTCGGAAAGAAAAGCGTCTGGATTTCTTTAAGTTGCTTGAAGACATTTCACCTCTTATCCGAGGAGCTTCTTCGGTTCTAGGGTCAAACTGAAGAAGCTTATCAGATGAGAGGTGAAACGTCTTCAAGCAACTTAAAGAAGTCCAGATGCTTTTCTTTCCAAGCTCCTTAGACTACGATGACCTGGATGACTGAGAACCTTTACAGACACGTTTTCTGGTAACAGCTGCAGGTTTGTTATTAGCATGTTAGCATTAGCTAGCTAAATGAAAAATCCACATATTAGTGTTTTTAGTGACAAACGGTGGGAATGTGACGTCACTCCGCAGGTGTCTAATCTGTAGACATCAAGCACAAACCGCTGGTTGTAAACCTGATAATCGATGAGAATCAATCAGCTGTTTGTTTGTTTTTTTACCTTCACCTGCTTCTTCGTCCCTTGTCACTACCAGATCCGTACCGGAAACCCGATCGGTACCCCGCATGCGCAAATCTTACGTCACTTCCTCTCTTTGCCAACATTGCGACA